CCGAACTCCCACCCAACGGTCGCCACGAGGAGGCGTCCAGGACATGAATCCACGGTACAACATTAGCAGCAGTAGGTAGACCATTTGTCTGGATCTAGCCACCACCAGCCTCAGCGCACCATAGGCTCTCCCGCCTATACATATATATATATATATATATATATATATATATATATATATATATATATATATAATTGACACTGCCACAACACATAGTTAACAACAACAACAACAACAAAAAGGGGAAAACAGGTAGACAGTGAAATGGTTTGGAAGGTTTACAAGGTTTATGTGTTGTGCGTGCAGAGATCTTCCCGGTTGCCCAGGCCGAGGAAGAAGGTTGACTTAAGGGACCCCACTCCGAGCCTTTGATCATAAGGACCTGACCCGCAAAGCAGCGGGATAATTAACGCAGGCCGTTGACATCCGGATAGCTCATTCGCTTTATTCGTGTTCAGTAGCAGTCCACAGAGAAGCCGGTGGCCATCAAGGTTGTTCGTCCCCCCTCCGTTAGGTACTTACTTCTGGTTACAGAGGTGAGTGGTCATTAACCCTATAGCCGGTCACATTGGCTTTGACACAGCGCCGTCCAAGCTCTTGTAGTATTTCATGGAGAACCAAGTGACCATTCCAGAACTCCCCACACTCTGAGACGCTGCCGCTGATCGTCCGCGACTGCGGAATGAAAAAGCTGGCGATCCAGTTTGTCCCCGTAGGTTGTTTTCGACTCCATGTTTGGCGTCCCAGAGATATATATGTATATTTATAGAGTGGTGGCTATATATATATATATATATAATACACAATCTGTGGTACAGATATTGTGCCATCGGAATCATGGCTGAATAGGAAAACAATATGAATAATAAGAAAAGAGCAACAAGAAATGCTTTTTTTGTCAAGTTTACCACTCACAGTTTTTGAAATTTTTTTTCAGTTTGTTCTTTTTTTAGGGGGAGGAGGAAGGGACACCGCAACACACTGATGCACACGTCCGCCATTGACATCGATCCTGAGCCATAACTTCCAAGGTTTTCAACCAGCAAGTATCCTCATCTCTCGGACCCCAACCAGGTAGTCGACAACAACCGGCCGAGGCCAATTGTTTCGTCAACTTTTTCATACGGCTTCTCCATGTTGTAGGCTGTCCACCAGACCGTCTCTTCCAGCCCTGTCCAGCAAGTGCAAACAACGCACGACGGGGGTAACGCTGGACAGGCATGCGCAATACGTGTCCCAACCGCCGCAGTTGATGCAGTGAGATGAGCTCCTCGAGCGAGTGGCTTCCACGTCCCAGGACACGCTGTCTAACTTCCACATTGCTTACGTGGTGCTGCCACCACACACGGGCAATGGACCGCAGACAGCGGTGCTCGAAGACGGATAGCCTGCGCAAGTCATCTTTACGAATGGGCCAGGTCTCGCATCCGTACAACAGTACAGCACGAACAGTTGCACAATAGACCCGCCCTTTGATGGAGAGACGAATGTCGTGGCGACGCCACAAATGCCTCAGCCTAGAAAAAGCGAGGCGCGCTTTCGAGATGCGCATCGAAATCTCGTCTCCAACAGCCCCGCCAGCAGTGATGCAACTTCCCAAGTAGACAAAGCTCTCCACAACCTCCATTGTCTCACCAGCAAGCGTGAGTGCAGGCAGAGGCACCTGCCAGTCTTGAAGGAGAGCCTTGCATTTGGATGGCGAAAAGCACATACCGTACTTTGATGCTTCAATCGTCAAGCGGTTTAATGCAATTTGGACGACCTGTGGATCGTCACCCAGCAAGACGATATCATCAGCATAATCCAAATCAACAACTCGACTACCTGGGAGGAGCTCAACGCCAGCGTTCAACGAATCGCTCAGAGCGCTCTTCAGGACATCCTCAATGGCAAAGTTGAATAGGAACGGAGAGATAGGGCATCCTTGTCGAACTCCACTGGAGACCACAAAGGTAGGCGAAAGCATGCCATAAACCCTAACCCTGCCCGAGGTCAGACTGTATAGAGCGCGTAGTATGGAGACGAACTTCTCGGGGACACCGTTCCTCAGAAGGCACTGCCACAGTACTGTACGATCGACAGAATCGAAGGCTGCACGGATATCCAGGAACACAGCAATCGTTGGCCTCTGATACACATGGCGGAGCTCGAGGATCTGGCGAAGTGTGAAGATTTGATCGATGCAGCCGCGACCAGGGCGAAACCCAGCTTGTTCTTCTCGTTGCAACGATTCGCGTGTTGAGGATAGCCTGCGAAGTATGATGGACACCAGCAGCTTGCAAACGACGGGAACTAAACTTATTCCTCTGTAGTTGGAGCAGATTGTGCGCAGGCCCTTTTTGAAGATGGGTACGACTATCGATTCACCCCAAGATGATGGAACCTTCTCTTTCGACCAAATTTTCGAGAACAAAACGGTGAGTTCTCGGACCAGCGATGCGCCACCATCTTTAAATAGAGCTGGGTGAAGACCATCAGGGCCGGGAGCTTTATAACGCTGCAGGTGTCGGAGCTCCTGCTCGATTTCCTGGGAAGAGGGAGGATCTGTTGGGGTAGACCACTCGGCCCCAGCGCGAACGCCAGAGGTAGCAGATGGAGCTGGGGGCCAACAAAACTGCGAGCCAAAATGTTCGGCCCATCGCTCCAACCGTCGTTGAAGATTGGTGATTAAGGTGCCATCCTCTTCGCGTATTGTTTCACTTATACCAGATCGAACACCTTCGGTGACTCGAAGGAGATGGAAGAGTTTCCTGGTATTACCACAGAGACTAGCAAGCTCCATCTCCCTAGCACGTTCACACCACCAAGCTTCGCGGTCCATTTGCAGACTTCTGCGCAACTCTCGACCAAGGTATTGGCGTTCTTCAACGTGTCTGGAATCCGATGGGATCAAGCGGCGTTTGTCCATCAGCGACAAGGAGTCGGCGGAAATCCAATGTTTCGGTGGGTGACGGGTAACTCCACAAGTGTCGATACTGGCGGAAACTAACGCATCTTTGATATGCGCCCACTGCGAATCGAGATCACCGTCAATAGTTGAGCCAAGCAAAGTTGACAGTGAGGCTTGGTACCTGGTTAAAACCGCAGCGTTTTGTAGATTCGCGACGTCCGGTCGGTAGTGGGCGCGCTTAGGTGACCCTCCGAAACGCATGCAAATCTTAGCACGAACCAATGCGTGATCGGAGTCTAGAAAAGTTGACCAGTACGATCGGCAGTCCGTTATGCTTCCGCGCCATCTGTAGCTGATTGCTATGTGGTCAAGCTGGGAGCACTCTTGCGTTTGTGAGGGCGGGCGCCAGGTAGCAGTCTGTCTCCTCGAGTGTCGAAAACTAGTGCTCGAAAGAAACAAGCGATGATCAGAGCAAAGAGCAAGTAGTCTGTCTCCATTGTCTGATCGACTGCCACCGAGACCAAAACTACCCCCAATGTGGTGCTCGCTTGGTAGAAGGCGGCCAACCCGTGCGTTAAAGTCCCCGGCAAGAATGACTATATCCGTCCGTTTGGAGGAACGCAGAAGTTCATGTAGTTGTTGGTAAAAGCTATCTTTAACTGCATCCGGGCTGCAGTCTGTAGGGGCGTAGGCGGAGACGACAAATAAGGCACGCTTAACATCTCGACGCCTGCTTACGTTACATGAACCTCTTAGTCTGACTGCACATAGTCGGCTGTTGACTGGGATCCAGTCAATCAGAGCTGATTCAGCCCTGGCACTTAATACAACCCCAACACCAGCTTGACCAGTGGCAGCAGATTCTGGGTCTGCGGAAAGCCGCAAGTAGTATTTGGCGTCAGAGTTTACCGGAGAGGCCATTCTGATGACGGCGCTAGAGTCTTGTAATCTGGTCTCTGAAAGACAACAGATGTCTACCGATAGCGTTTCAAGAGTAGGGGCCAGACATGCTTGTCGTCCGATCTGCATCAAAGTTCGAACATTAAACGCTGCGAGGATGAATGGAGAACCAGATCGGAGAAGAGCTGGAGCTTCGGTGGAGTGAGAGGCGGTTGCGATCGCAGGACATGGAGAACCCGGAGTTTGGCTGTTACTTCCATCAGCTGCGAGACGTGGGTCGTTTGTGACGGTGACCGTAGAAGACGCAAGAGTACATGTAGGTGAAAGACGGGAGGTGGGGTGGTCTGTGAGTGGACGTTGAGCGGTTGAGTTAAGACAGAAGAGCGGCATAGCAGTAGTAGTAGTGAGCGGTGTAGTTCATGATTCTTCAGTGGGCGTGATACTACCCGGTTGCCCAGGCCGAAGTAGAGGGTTGTCTTAGGGGGCCCTACCCCGAGCCTTTGATCAAAGATCTAACCTACAAGGCAGCAGGGCGATGTGAGAGCGTCGCAACCCGTTGGGAGCCGGTGACCAAGTAGATGGTTCATACGCCTTTCGGTCTGTGAAGGACCAGGGGCCTAACTCACCCTTAAAGTACAATGCCTCTCAGGGAGGGGCAAGGGGCAGTGACTTTATTCAGTGGCGAGTCACATCCGCCACGTCGCAGTGTTGTTAAACGGACATATGTGGCTTTTTATAGGGAGAACGCTTGCCAGGCGAAAACCCACCACGTCCTGGAACACTGCCGCCGAACCATTCGCTGGAACGGGAAAAACCCGAACCACCCAGCTGGCACCACGAGGAGGTTGTTCGGCAAGCCACCACCATCCTTGTTCATAAACTTCTCTGTACCTAATATCTTTGATATTTGCATAACTGTTGCAACAGCTTCGTCAGTGCCGCACTTGTTTCGTAATACAGCTGGTTGTGAAATTTTCTTTATCTAACATGAAGGTGCGTTGATCCCAAAGGTTTACTCAAGCCGTTGAGCTTTTAAACCATGCTCCTCCTTCCATCTTATTACTTCCCATTGTTTATGTATTGTACTGATGCGTCCAAATAAGGCTGCCTCTTGTTGATGTTTAGCTCGTATTCTTTCTCCACATTTAAATGTTTCGTGGTTCCCATTCATCATATAGAGCCCTTTAACCCTTTCTTCAGATCCTTAAATATGCTGTCCACTGAGCAAGAGTTGAAAGTCTCTCGGATGACAAAGCGGTCACAAAACAAAAAGCTCTTTGGTCGGGACAATTATCGATTGAGAGAATTTGTTCTGCAGCCATATTGTGTCCGTTACTTTGAAGTCAGCGGAGGCGTGAGTGTGCGTTCCCGCAACATCTTTTGCTGCTACTTTTAGAATCGCGGGAAAGAGAAAGGCCAGCTCTTACTGAGTCATGTTAAATTTATCGAGAAAGTGGATGACAACGAGCTAGACAATAAGAAAAACGTGTTCCAGGTATATCACTCGCGCGTACTTATTTAATTTTGGTGTTTTATAGGTGGCGTATGCTGAAGATACCCTATCCACTGCTTGGTATCTTTTATATATCGTGGCAAATTCGGCTAATGAACGTGACGATTGGATTAGTCTGGTTCGTTTTTGTAAGTGTTATTGTTCCCATGTGTTTTTCGTTACCTTAACAGAAGGCGACTGTATCTATCTTCCTTTACAGCACTAAACCATTCGAGTACCGTTACTTCTGTTGTCGTTTTAACCGCTTGATTTTGAAAGTAGACCAACCGCCATTTATTACGACTCGATCATCGTATCGCATCGTTTCTGTATCTACGGTAATCTTTGTTTCAGTCTCGCTGCGTACATTTAAGTAATGGCTTTCCTTATTCTTCTGTAAAGCAGGCGTCTGCAACACGACATTCATCTCTTTTCCATCAGTTTCTGCAAATAATTATGTAGAATTGTGTAGCTTGCATTGATATTCATTACTACTTAGCGGAATTCGACATCTTATCATTGGGGAACTCTTCTCACACTTGCTCCAACCTGTGGTTTATTTATTCTTTATCAGATACTCGTGAAAGGGGTGCAACCTTCGTTCCGCGCTACCATCCGGGCATCTGGAAGCGCCCTGGTCGATACACTTGTTGTGATGACATCAATCGGCGGTCCATGGGCTGCCAGCGTACAAATGAACCTGGACCACCAGTTGTTGTTGAGCAGTTATGGCGTGCTGTCTCCGGCACGGATATTGTCTGCACCAATTCACAGTCGTTTTCCACTGTTACTTCGCTCCCAGTCAACACAGCAAGCACCGGTGCGCAATCAACCGCGTCTGTGGCTCTCGCTTTGGCGAGCAACTCGGACGTTACTTCCCTCTCACCGATCGTGACCCCTGTACAACCGGTTGTCCTGAATCAGAACACTTCGCCCATTCCATTCTCTTTGGTCCATTCTACAAACGTTCCCACCCCAAACTCAACTTTGGTCGCACCAATGCCTAGTATTATCTTGTCTACCCCCGTGATTATGTCCACGACAACCAGCCCGTCCGCGTTGCTGCAACTGCAACAAAAGCCGCCTCAACTCACAATACCAGGTGGGGCTGGTGTCAGTCCATTTCCTCAGTCCAATAGTGGAGTTAGACGTTCTGGACACGATCAGACTAGGACCCAGGTTGTACGGCATACTCATCAAACGCTGTTCGACATGGTGCGTTTTTTTGACTTCACATACTCTGATATATAATTCGTCTCCTCTCCGAGACCTGAGCGCCAAATTTCATTCACATACTGGCCAAACTCGCAGTCTAAACTTAGCCAGCTCCAACATCAGGTACTCTTTTTTGTCTCATTGATTCCACTTTTGTTTAGCCTAAAAATTTGCCAGTCGAAACCGTCTAGATCTACTTAGATAAATAATACTTCTTTTATACAGCAAGAATCATGGTGCTTGTTTTGTTGACTTTTGTATTTTGTGAGCAATTTGCTAGGAAACCTTTTTTGTTCTACCGAAGTCAAGCTAGGCTCAACCTCACCTCTCGCAACTTGTTCCTAATCGGTTACATTCGAATTGACTGCGAATCGGAGCTGCGCTTTTGACCACTGTTCTCAGACTCTATCTTTAGACGCGGAGTCTGCCAACATCTAACACGTTTGTGATTGCACCCTTTGCTCTTCTGATAGCCTGTGGCTGAAGCATTCACATGCCTGTCTTGGTATCCGTAGGTCACTGTTTCTAGATTGCTTAAGGGACAGGGCAGTATCCTTAGCCCATGCGCGACGGGTGAAGGTAGCAATGCAACGGATTGTCGGTAATGCGTACCGGCGTATTGCTGATACCTTTGCCCTTTTGGAATCCCCGCTTTGGTATTTCTTGTGTTTGACTTGCAACCTCAGTCCTGTATTTGAATCCACACTCCGGTGTAGGCTTGTGTGTCTCCGAGTACAGCCGATTGCGGTTCCACAAAGGTGAGTCATCAATACGAAAACTCGCAGCCAGACTGGACCTTAAAGTGGTGCGACGGTTTGCGTATCTCTTAGATGCTGTGGTGTTCCCATGCCCTTTGATAGCTACTCCTATCAGGTTAATCAATGGTTAGATGTCAGACGAACTCACTCTCTTATGCTTCCAGTGTTCGAAATGCGATGGCGTCCATTTTCGTAAAACTAAATCATTGCCATCTACACTCTACCTTGCGGACAGCCTTTGAGCCAAAGGCTTCAGTTGAGGTCTTTAATCGTTCTCCTGTCTAGGTCTGGGCGACCTGGCAGTGTTGTGCTGCCGCTGAATGTACGGCTAAGCTGCTGCTACCGTGCAGCTGACCGTCGTCAGAGATGTGTTGTGGTTTCCGCTGGATTTACGGATAATCTGCCTGAATCTGCTGTTCTGCCCCCAACCAGTTTAACCCTCCACGAAATGAGAACGCCAAGACCAGCCGGACTGAGGGATCCTGCTTCTATTGAATGAGAGCTTGGCGCAATAACTAGCTCGTATGATACCATTCACACAACCAAATTGGAGATGACAATTAATATTAATTAACCCAGATCAAACGGTTCAACTTCATAGTCCGACTTGCCGTTGATTCCACATAGACTCGCACTTTGATCTTTATTCGAGTTCAATCTCTACTTGTAAATCGATCCACTGTTGCCCCACTGCTCTCGGCCTGAACGACTCCAAGTAAAACCAAGACTGTTTTCCTAAGATGCAGTCACATCCGGCATCGGCCGTTGCGCAGCATCACAAGCGTTATTTTATCTTCTTTATACGGCAGGGATGATAAATGAAAACATGCTGCTTTCTTTTCTACTTGTTTCTCCTACCCCATTCCTGACCTAACTTCTACAATTCCCAGCTAACTTGACATCAGACGCAATGCCACTGGGGTCATGCCATTTAGATCTGTCTTCCCGCACAACCCACTGGACACCAATCGCCAACAGCTACTAATAGGGCCACACCGTCCCGTTTCCCTGGTGCCTTTCAGCATTCGCATTCTAAGACAAATAGGTCAACAGGCTGCACTCGCACGTACGTTGGACACCCTGGGTATTAACTTGTGTTGTGTGTCCGAAACTAGGACCAATGACCGTACTGGGGTTGGAGAATTAACTGCACCCAGTTTGTCCTCTCGCTATTGGTTGCACGCATCGGAAGACGCTGATGCAGCTCCTACGGGTCAAGCTGGTGTAGCTATCATCCTCAGCTCCAAAATTGAGCCATCGTTAGTTGATTGGATTCCCGGTGAACAGCCGTTTGTTTGCAGCCCGCTTGATGACCAACTGAGGTTACTTCAGGAAGCGGTACAAAACGCTGTTTGTTTGTGCTTTTCGCTTGTACCCCCACCGAATTCAGTTCTGGTGCTGCTAAGGACACCTTCTACAACGAACGGAACACGCAGCTACGCAATGTTACCAGTTCGGCTGTCATAATTCTTGTATCATAAATTGTCGCAGTTTCTAACGTAATTGAGTCGACTCTGGTCATGCTTTCGTACTCTGTCATTTTTCCATGAACTTTACCGGGAGCCGTAACAAGTGCTTCCCTCGATTCATAAGTGAGATGTTATCTCATGTCCAGGTCCAGCAACCCAGCCGTCCTATCCTGTATATATATATATATATATATATATATATATATATATATATATATATATATATATATATATATATATGGTTAGGGACATCCGGTTTCGGATTTGCCTGTCACTGTGGCCAGCCATAGGACGCCTGCGCTTACAGAGGGACCATGGGTGGCTTGCGCTGCACCAACCACAGCTTCACCCACACACCGCATATCCAGTGTAAACCCGAAGGAATAAGACCGGGAGGCAGGTGGATGGGAGCCATGTTTCATCAACAGAGCCGGCCCAAACTCCTTCACAGGCAAACACAAGCACGCTGTAGTTGGGGAATTAAGCGCACACAAGCCGGTCACCGGACCGTAGTCCGCTCCACACTGAGTGCATGGAACCAATCTTTGATCCTAACACGGCCACAATGACTGCAACCCATCCCCTCCAGCAACGACCAACTGTCTCCTGGCGCCAGTATGGACGAGGTAGTGGGTAATAGACAGGTAGGCCCCTTGTCAACGTGCACATCAGGCGCAGCTACACCGAGGATATCAAGCAACAGCCAATCATTTGAGAGAGAGATAGATAGATAGATAGATAGAGACAAAGAAACTAACTCTTGTAATGCACAAGGAAATGGTGACATAAACCTTAAATTAATGAGCATATGAAATAAGTTGTTTACAAAAGAATTCGACATTAGTTCACGAGTTCAGAAGGTATATTTTACGGAAATATCACCAACATGAAAATGTTATCGAAATTAACTACCATTGGCTTAAGCGACGTGTGCGTGTTTATAGAAGAGAGAACAGGTAAACACTTATGTGAGAAAGAAAAGCATTCGGGCAAAATTGAAAACTCACCACGTGTAATAAAGAGACTTAACATGTAAGCACGCGGTTAGTAAATCGAATGTAGCGTGCCTACAAACGCTGCGCCGGTTCTGCCTGCGTTCTCTGCAGGACCCGTCGTCGCTTCGGTAGTGGTCCCGAGTGGCCTCGCTCATGGCTCACTTGGCCTGCCTACTCAGGCACTCGCGACCGCATGTGCTACAGCACCATGCGTTCGATGTCGATGGAGTACAACCCATCGGTGCTTTCCACTTCGGCACTTGCCGCTTCTTCTCTGCATGCATGAGGTCTTTCTCCCGCAATTCGGCAACTGCCTTCTTGATTAGATCGCACCATGCACGCCGATCAACCGCCTTCAATTCTCATGACCTGCAATCAAGCTTAGAACGTGAGAGGCTCACTCTGATCTCGTCCTGGTAATGTAACTTTGGTTTCCCCACGTGCCGCTTCCGAATACTCAGCTGACCGCACAAGAGTTGTTTCGGTATCCGCCTCGAATCCATACGGCTCACGTGACCGATCCACCTCAGGTGTCTGAGCAAAAGTGTGCTGTTCAATGCATACATTCCACTTCGTCGCAACACTTTTGTGTCAGCAACTGTCACAAAACCCCGTCGCAAACACTGCTGATGAAACCGCTCGAGATATTGCAAATCCCGCCGGTTCATCGTCCACCATTCACTGACGTATAGAAGACCGGACAGCACCATGGATTTTTACACTATCAGCTGCGTGCCAATGGTAAGCTGATGGGTGTTCCACACTCGGTACTCAAGCTTCCAGATTCCCGCCGCTGCCTTCGACACGCGGATACGTAGCTAACTGTGTATCTGCTGATCAGTAGACATCACACTCCCAATGTAGCAGAAGCGGGAGGTGGTTTCCAATACTACAGCACCAATGCTGATTCGAGGCAATATTGAAGATTACACCTCCAGTGAAGGCTGAAAGAGGCAGACAGTCTTGCTTGTGTTAATGGTGAGCCCAGATTTGCCCGCAGTCAAAGTCAAAGCACTAGTGATGTGCGGCAACTCGTCCGCGGTGTGTACAAACAACGCACAGTCGTTAACAAACAGCAACTTACGGATAGTTGTCTCACCGACTTGAGTTCTCGCAGTGAAACGACGGATGTTCATCAACCCACCATCCATACGGTGTTTCACACGAACACCGTAAGCACAAGCGGCATCAAAAGCACAAGACATCATTGCTTGAAGATATATATTAAACAGGGCAGGAGCTAAGACACAGCCTTGCTTCACACCAGAGACAACTGCAAAGTCATCCGAGGTCTCTCCACTCAGCTGCACCCTTGCTCACATACCACTGTGCAGACATTCAATTGAGCTTACAAACTTACGCGCGCAACCAAACTTACTCAACATCAGCCACAATGCCTCGAGGTTCACCATATCAAACGCCTTGGTGAAATAAAAAAACAACCTCATAAAACGGCTGGTGTCGTTCTCTGCACTTCTCCTGCAACCGATGAGCCACAAACCACATACCTATAGTGCTGCGAGCCGAGCGGAATCCACACTGCTCTTCCGTCAGGTTAGATTCCACAACCTGACTGACGAGGTGGTTGAGCAGGATTCGGGCAATCACCTTGTCCACACAACTCAGCAAGTTGATGCCACGATAATTCGTGCAACATTGCTTGCTACCTTTGCCCTTGTACAGTGGTAGCGCAAGGGCATCCTTCAGCTCAAGAGGCACCTCTTGCTCAATCCATACGCGTTGCACCAAGTGGTGCAGCGCAGTCACCAACGTGGGTC